CCGGCGGGGAGGGGGCGTCCAGGGCCGGGCGGGTCCTGGGGCGGCGGCCCACGCACCTCCTCGGCCTGCCTGCGCAGCGCCTTCTCGCGCTCGTACTGGGTGAGCAGCTGCTCGTTGTCCTCACGCAGCAGCTCCAGCTCCACCTCGTGTTCTTGGTTCTCGCTGAGCACCGAGTCCAGGTTCTCCAGCACGTTCACCACGAGCGGCATGAGCTCCTTGACCACCTCCTCGTCGTAGCAGTGGATCAGGCGCTCGAACTCGCGGTAGATGGAGCCCGCCAGGCCTGACACCCGCTCCGACATCACCGAGCCGGAGCAGTAGTCGTCCTGGTACACTACCACGCCGCCGCCCTCATCCATCTGGATCTCCATCATCGTGGCCACCGCCGCCGCCAGCGCGGCTAGCTGTCCTGCCGGAGAACCGGCCCGCCCGGCTGCCTTGGGAACCTCAGGCCGCGGCCAGTCGCCTCCCGCAGCTGCGGTTGCCTCAGGACTCGTCGTGCCGGGGCCGAAGCTGCGCCCGTCACTCACTCGCCGGAAGTCCCGCCCGCCGGAGGGGGCGGTGCCCGCGCGTCCCGCCGGAACGCGCCGCCAGGGGGCGACGTGACGTCAGCGGAAGCCCGCTCCAGGTCGCGGGCGCGGCGCGACTCTCTCGTGGCTGGTGGCTGTCACTCCTCCCCGGCGCGCAGTGACTTGCGCACGCTCCCGCCACCCGTCGGGGCCCTGGAGTGCAGATCCTGCCTTCCCGGAGCGCCTGCCCCCGGGCCATGGTCTCCCGGGCTGGAGCCCAGCGGCCCGTCGTCTTTGGGTGCTGCTCTCCGCCCGCGTCTTGAGCGTTTTGGTGTCCTTTCAGCTGCGTATAATTGTTTAACTCATCCACTGGGTTCTTACTGTCAGTGATCCTATTTTTGTCCAGTTTGAGTTTCTTATAACCACTTATCTTTAAGCCTTTAAAAATTTTTAAATTTCATTTTAAAGATGTGGGGTACAATTCAGGGTTAGGTATACAAATGGTCATCATATAGGTAAAGTTTGGGCCTCACTTTGGTCCCTACTTGGCCTGTTTTGAGATTAGGTGCCCTTATTGACTAAGTGTCGCTCCCACCCCTTCCCTGGCAGTTTCCCACTACTGCCAATCCCTAATACTATTATGGTAATTGTTCAGCGTCCGCTTATGTGGTAGCCTGTTTTTGTATCTCATAATCACATCTGCAGTTTTTGCAGGTCTAACTCTGCGGTCTCGTTTTGGTTGTCTCTTGCTCAGGCTCTCCTTTCCCCTATGCTGAGCTAGTGTTTCCTGGGACTTTATCTGTGGAAATACTTTGAGGGCTGAATTTAAAGTGAGTTGAGGTCGGGAGCGGTGGCTTAGTCTGTAATCCCAGCACTTTGGGAGGTGGAGTCGGGAGGACTGCCTGATCCCGGGGGTTCCAGACCAGCCTGGGCAATTTGGTGAGACCTCGTCTCTACAATAAATAAAAAACAAGCTGGGTGTTCAAGCTACTGTAAGGCTGAGATGGAAGGATCGCCTAAGCCCACCACGTTCAGGCTGCGGTGGCCATGGGGGTGCCACTGCTCTCCAACCTGAGTGACAGAGTGAGACTCCAACTCAAATAAAATAGTTGCTCCAGAAGATTTGCATTTTTCTTTGCTGGGCACCTGGGACACCATGAACCCAAGACTAAACTTTCAGTTTGGGGGCCACACAGGTAGTATTAATTCTGACCAAAAACCCATCAATGACTGCTTAATGCAAATTGAAATGGTCACCCACCTCCGCCTTTCACCTACTGAAATGCTTCTAGGTCAGTTCAGATCCCCTCATTCTAACCTGATTGCACCAAAACGATAACTCTCCTGTAATTGACTTCCTAACTCCTACCGTATCATTTACATTTTCTCCTTGCAACATAATTCGCTGTATAGATGTTCACCCACCCCACTACAGACAAATTGAGGTTTCAGTCTCAGATTCAAATTGCCTGGGATCCTCAGTGACTTAATTTTCCCAAGTCTCTATTTCCAAGCCGGCAAAACTGAGGTTACAGTATTACCAATGTATTAGGACTCTGAGCTAATCGATGAAAGGGGCATAGCACCATCATTAGCAGATAGTGTGCAATAAATGTTATGTAGAATTGATAAGTTTTCTAAAGCCAAAATGACAACGCAGGACAAATGTGTATTTCTTCCTGGTGAACAGGTTAGACCACGCTTGAATTTTGGGGGATGTATAAGACTTCCACTTTATACCTTTTCCAGAAATTTGACTCCGTTGAATTCCTGAGGTAACACACTACAGCAGGGGCAACCCTCACTCCCACAGGGAGGCCAACTGACTTGGTCAATTAACTTCATTCATTTTATTACATGATGGGATCAGATATTACTTGAAGTTGGCTAAAACAAAATGAAATTTTAATAGGATGACATGCTGGATAATTCTCAATGCTTATAGAATAGTAAAAACTGGTCTGCTCCTCAAAGTTGGAGCTAAGTGAATTAGAACTTCTTGCAATAGACTTCTTTCCAAATTTGGAATGATTATTTGGGTTACAACTTTTTCTTCTCATTAAAAGACCCTGAAATGGAAGATGGGCACACAAGTTTCCAAAGTTCTACTTTAAAGTATCTGCTCCTAATGCTTACTAAAAAGTCACCTAGGTCCCTATGATGTCCCTCTCATCTCTTCATGAATTGAATTTTACTATTTTTGAGTGTCTCACTCTTGTCACCCAGGCTGGAGTGCAGTGGCACCATCACATCTCATCACAGCCTTACCTAGTGGGCTCAGGCGATCCTTTTGCCTCAGCCTCTCAATCTGGAACTGGAGGTGCGTGCCACTGAGAGTGGCTATTTTAAAAAATTTTTGTAGAGGTGAGTCTAGCTTTGTCACCCAGGCTGGTCTCAAGCCATTCTCCTGCCTCAGCCTCCCAAAATGCTGGGATTATAGGCAGGAGCCACCATGTCTGGCCATGAGCTGAATTTTAGATGGCATCTTCAGATAGCACTTTTTAACTACATATAAAATGAGAATATTTCATTAATAATCTCCAAGATGGTAAGGATTAGGAGGATATGAGTTCAGAAGAAATGGATTAGCTAATATAGGAGGAATTATATACATGCTTGCAAGGTTTGACTCACTGAGGCACATCACAAAGATAATAGAGTAAGTGACCTTATATCAAGAGCCTGTATATTTCTGGACAAGGCACGGGACATAAGTGGCAACTTTATGATTTTTTTTTTTTTTTTGAGTCAGAGTCTCACTGTCACTCAGGCTGGAGTGCAGTGGCATGCTCAAGGCTACCGCAGCCTTGACCTACTGGGCTCAGGACAGCCTTCCACGTAGCTGGAAATACAGGTGCACACGCCACCATGTCTGGCTAATTTTTTGATCTATTGCAGAGACGAGGTCTTGCAAGTTGTCCAGGCTGATGTCAAACCCCTGGGCTGGGCAATCCTCTTGCCTCCGCCTCCCAAAGTGCTGGGGCTACAGGTGTGAGCCACCCTGCCTGGCATGATGTTTGTTATTCATGCTTTCATCTTATCACAGGTAGAGCCACCGTAGTCCTTCCAGACTTGGCCACTGCCTGGCCTCTGGAGACAGAGGAGCTGTGATCTCGGAGACTTCGGTGCTTGCCTGTGTCTCAAGCAGCTGCTACCAACAGGTAATTTAACATTGTCAGTGCCTAGTTCAGTTCTTGGAACTCATTCAACACTCCAAAACATGTTTGTGAGTGAACAAGTCAAGATGGTGTTTCAGGTAACCCATGTTGGTTTTCTTTCTAAGCCTTGGTTTTCATCTGAAGTCTGATCTAGCAGGCAGAATGGTGTGGCATCTCCTAGAGAGAGCTATCCAGGCTGGCCATCTGAGAAGTTTCATACCCCGAATCCACATGACACATAGAGAATCTTAAGTTTGCTTGAGAGACGTGTGAAAGGAGCCAATACATGAAGAAAGACTTTCTCTACAGGACTTGAATCTGACAAACTCTCAGCTTCACCTCACCTATTCATTACAAGCCAAGTCAGAGGCAGGTCAAACACCTTAAGGACACAATCAGGATGAGTGGTGTAAGAGAAAAAAGAATCCTTCATTTAACTTCAAGAAATGGAAAACAACACTGGCATATTCACTCTCCTCTCAAAGCTTTGAGAAGGTTAATCTCGGCATCCTCTGGTTAAATGCAAAAACAAAAAAGGCAAACTCCATCACTAAGGAAAAGCTGTAAGGGAAGGAGTGGAGTTCAGGCATTTTGTCTGAAGACTGGACCACCGAGGTGCATGTGAACACACACGAACACACACAACTAACGGACAAAGACTTTGAGTACATGATTGCTAAATTTAATTGAACTGTTACACCCAATTCTGCCTTGTAAAAATAACAAAATGCTCCTATCAAAATTACATTGTGATGTGAGTACAGGTTTTTTGATACAGCTCTAGAAAAATGTTGGCACCAAGTGCACTTAAAAAAAAGTTTTAAGGCTTGAAAAACATACAGAGACTAGTAATTTCTCAATGCAGCTTAGAGGTTGAGAACAGTATGCTGTTTTTTCATCTTCTAAACACAGACAGTCCCCAATGTATAGAACACCTCCCAAATGCAAACCACAGCCACACAGTGAGGGTCACTGTGTAGTAACTCCTCTTCTTCTCCCAGTGACCAGGCCACCAGCCACTCTGAACCAGCCCCGAAGCCTCAGAGGGAAGCAGAGATGGGAGAGGGCTGAGGGGAAAGGTTCTCACTGATGCCAAGTGGCTTTTGCTCTAGGTCGTGTTTTTTTCATTCCTATCTAGGGGTTCTCCCATCTCTACCCAGAAGTTCCTCCAGGGGCAAGACTGGAGAGCTTCCTGCATCTGGCTGACAGCAGGTTGGGGAGGATTGTGGGCCCCAGCACAGTCATGCCAAATTCCTTCTTTGTAATCCCATTAGGAATTCACAGTTCATTTTCTCATTAAAAAGTTATAAATGGCAGTTTAGTCCCACCATCAGACTATTTTCTTGTAAGTTAAAGAAGTTAGTAAAGCTTACCACCATTTATAACATTTTTAAATGGGGAAGAAAATGCTCTGAATTAATGCCAAACAACTTCCTTACAAATGACTCTGAACCACACCTTGAAGCATGTAGAGTTGCATGGGGGGAGGGGCTTCTTGGCTTCAAAGTCTGCCGGGCGATCGAAAGGTGCCAGTATGAAAGGGAGCTTGGCAGGCAGCTCCTTGCAGGCACCCAGGCAGCGAGGTCAATGAGACCCAGCTGAACAGAGTTGTTCCTAAATTTTAATGATAATTATGTTTCTAGCACCAGGCTTTAGTTCTAAAGGCAGAGCAAAGCTGCCACCACCCATTCTCCTCTGTGAACAGATGCCCACCCAAAGGAAGCATGGAAACGGAGACTGCAGCCCTTCAGGGGGACTGGGAGGAACTTCTGCCTGAAGATGAAGCAACATGGCCTTGCTAGCCCATTATCTCAGAAGCCTCAGGGTACTGGACAGTTGTGACTTTGCTGCTAAACGACTTCCTCTCCTGACTCTCCAGTGTCTTTCAGAAGCTTGACTTTGAGTGGTTCAAAGGTTCTGTAAAGCTTTATAAAGGGGGCCTACACAACTCTTCTTCCTCTTTGGTATACCTGAGCAACTGACTTTTTTCTGGAAAGGTATCAGAAACAGAGAATCAACAGTCATTTATGTAAAGCTGGTATTTTTAAATAACTTTTTAGATATTACTAAAGAATCCAAACCCAAGAACCCAAGGTTCTCAGGTATCTCTTCTTTCCACCAACCAGTTCAGGAATGAAGTTAAGACATGAAGAAGCTGAATAAGTTCCTTACATGGATGTACCTGAATAGATTTTAGAAGTCCTACAGACATACACTCTGGTTTTTCTTTTGCCTTTCACTAAAAGTCCTGCAGAGGTCAGTGAGCCTCATTTATAGGAAGGACTGTGGCTTGTGAAGCGAACTGTCCAAAACACTGTAGAACAAAGGTCTAGACGTAAGGCTGATGAGAGAAAAAAGAACAACTCACAAGCAAAACTGGTATGTAAAGGACCAGGACCAGTTCCTTGTGAGAGAAAGGCATGAGATCAGTCAAGGTTTCAGACGGCAGAAACTGGGCACTTCAGAGAATCAGGGTACAAAATCCTCCCATAAAGCAGAGGACTGAGGACAACCTTTTGGTTTTTGTGAAAGCTGCCTAGGAAAAGCAATCAAGATGTTTCAAGAAAAGACTGCTGTATAAAACACTGGGGATAAAATGAAATGGACACATTGAGGCTTAGCAGCAGTCAATCAGGAATGAAACGATCTGGTGAAGGGTACGTGGCGTTGCCAGTGTTTCTTGTGCCTTGCTGCTGCATCTCACTGCAACAGACGGTTGCCTTGGATTTCTTCCTGTCATTCTGAGTTGTTGTCAGCTGTTGGACTGCTGATGCAAGGACAGAAAAGAGCACACTTGCCCAAGCCTCACTGCGGCCCTGCACCACCTACCTGCCCTCGCCCATCTGTGAGTTCCTCTCACATCTGGAACTACAAATGAGTGAAGACCAGGGGAATCACACTTTCCCCACAAAGATGCGTCTCTTAGCAGTCTGGAAGGCACGGTTCTCTGTGTAGCTCTTGGATGGCAATGGAGACGCTGAGCAGCCAGCCTCACATGCGACCAACCCTTTCCCACCCCGCTCATCTGGCCTAAAGGAAATGATATATTCGATACCCTATTTCTGAAGTTTCTTGTCTGGCTACAGGTGAAGCAGTAGCTTCTTTTAGTAGAAGGAGATGCTGGATTTGCCTCCAGGTGGGTTCAGGACTTTGTTGTGAGAGCGGGGCCGCGGGCCCAACCGCGGCTCATGGCTGTCAATCTGGGGCGTGGGCACGTGCTCCTTGGCGAGGCCCACTTCTCTAACGCTGCCTTTCTCCGCTAGCTCTTCTCCAGACGGGACGCTCATTGGAGCTGTGGGACAAAGCACACCCTCCCATTAGAGGCAACCCATTACCCTGAGGCAAGCAGCGAGAATACAAAGTCCATGTCACAGAGCAACCTGCAAGAAATCAACAATGTAACTGAGAAAGAGAAGAAAGTAAAGCCAGGCTTTCCACTGTGTACCAAGACAGTTCACTGTAATTAGCAACTGCAGATTTTAAAATGAGTAGAAAGCTGGGGCTTCCTACTAGAAACACATCTTGACTTCTTCCTAAATAAGCTGTTTCCTTATGTTGCTTATTACACTCCCTTCCCATTCCTTCCATTAGGTATGAACAGTCACCTCTCCCAGAGTGAGCATGGAAAGGAGGGGGAGTGCCTTCAAAGCCAAGGCCAGGGCTCCTATTGCCATAACTCTGGACTCTCATGACTTACCTGGGTCCTCAGCTGAGGGAAGGGGACCCGAAGGCAGAAGTCAATGCGCATAGTCAGGCTAGAGGGCCACAGGGGATGGAAAGCCCGGCTTCCAGCTGGACTGGAACGGCTTGCCCACTCCCACCTCACTTCCTGCTCCCACCTCTCCCGTGGCCTTCTCTTCTATCCTTGGGTCATGAGTTCACTGAGGGTTTTGGATCCCTGCCTCTCACTATACAGATCAGCTTCTAGGAGATGATGCCTGGTCTCAGTCCTGGGCTACTTAGCACTGACAAGGGAAGACAATTTCATGGTTTTTACCAGCAGCCTTCTTCAAATACTGAGTCCTCTCAGCAGCAAACACACCAGTGCCTCTGTTTTAGTTAGCTGGCCTGGAAGGTGCAGAGAAATCTCCCTTTCATTCTTCAAGGACACACCAGCAGCTTTTCCAGAAAGAATGAATGAGGCCACTCAGGAGAAGGGACAGCAAACAAAAGCTCACCTTTAAGATCTGATTTTGGTTCTCCTTCACATAAAAAGACATGATCCTGCAACAAGGGAAATCATTAAGTCAATACTTGATTCAGAATCCTTTTACCTTCATTCAAATGGATAATAAAAACCAGGGCATATGTGACTTCTCATTCTGGTTTTTTTTTTTTTTTTTTGAGTCGGGGTCTAATGGCATAATCACGAAGATTATGGCTTATGGTAGCCTCAACCTCCAGGGTTCAGGTGATCCTCCAGCTTCCCAAGTAGTTGGGACTACAGGCACATGCCACCATGCTTGACTAATTTTTTGTAGAAACGAGGTCTAACCATGTTGTCCAATCTAGACTTCTTATTTTATTTTTTTTGAGTTTGAGTCTCACTCTGTCACCCAGACTGGA